GTCCTGGACTGTAAAGTTGTGTTAGGAAAACTTATAGGCCAAAGTGCCTGTCTGCCAACTATGTGAACTTGAAGCTCTGCTGGTTAAACTGAAGTAGTGTAGATAATGTAGTTTTAAATGCTTACCCTGTTAGTACAATAAATATTGATTTTTAGTGTACTTACTAAAAAAATTACATGCATTTATTCATTTACTATTATGGGGGAAAGTGGTTCATATTAATATTGATGGGCAGGTGTGGAAAGCTTCATTTATAGTATTATGGTTAGAATGCTTCCAGAGTCCAAAATACCTAGTTTTGAGACATAATTTTGGAGTACATCTGTTTGTAATTTAGAAACCGTTTTTATAAACCAAGACTTGAAAAATATTTACTACTTACTGCATTAGCATGCAAATTTTTATGTATTCTACAGTTTGTCTTTTGAATTAATGTTTTACTTCATTCTTACATCAATTTTAGACTCAGCAAAATTTGGTAGAAACTGCAGCATTACACGTACTTCTTTGCCTCTTTTCTCCTTAGTACCTTCATTGGCACCCCCACCACAGTGGTGTGGGTGTTGTGTATTACAGTACATGAACTTGCTTTGAGCATACATTGCCACATAAAGGTCCTAGTTTACATAACATCTCATTTTTGGTACTGAATATTTTATGGATTTTGACAAATATATAGTGATACATACATCTTGCTTGTCCAATCAGTGTCTGTCTACCTTCTGGCACCTTCTGACCTTTTTATTTCCTCCATAGTTTTTCTTGTTTCAGGATGTATGCTTGGAATCTTGCAGTGTGTGGCAGTATAAAATTTTCAAATTGTCTTCTCTGACCAAGTAATGTGGATTTAAGGTACATCTATGTCTTTTTGTGGCTTGATAGCTCTTTTGCACTGAGTAGTATTTCATTATCTATATGTAGCAGCTTCTACATCTATTAATCCACTGAGGTCATCTTGGTTGCTTTCCAGTTTAGATGATTATGAATATACTGGCTATGCACAGGTTTTTGTGTTGAGTTTCCAGTTTCCTGGTTAAGTTGAAGCAAATGTGATTGCTGGATCATATGGAAAGATGTGCTTAGTAAGAAACTGCCAAAGTGTTCCAAAGTAAATCATCCACAGCCCCAAACAGTGAGAACGCTTGACATTTGGCATTGCCTCTGTCGTTTTGCTTTCCTACAGTAAGTAGTTCTGTATCGTTTGTTGAAAAGCCATGTTTACTCCAGCATTTCCTTTGTGTCTTTGCATCTAAGAAGAGAACCAAGGTTAGGAGACTCTCTGGGTTTCCTGTTCTTCTCTTCTTTTTCACTGCGCACACTGATGCCCTTTCTGGCTCTTTGTAGTCATGCTGTAAGGCTTCAAGTTGGGTAATGTCCTTCTTCTTTGTTCCCGCCTTCCTGAGTAAATAAACATTCCAGGTTCTTCTCTAAGTAAGCTTTAGAATCAATTTGTTGATATTCACAGAATAATTTGATTTGATTTCTTTTTTGGCGGGGGGTCGGGGGGCAGCATTGGTACATAGATGAATTAGAAGAATTGATATTTTGACACTAGTGTCCCTATGAATTTGATATGAACAGTATCTAATTAGTTTCATGTTTTTATCTTTTTAGACATTTATTTTTACTTGATGAGCAAGTGTTTTTCTTGCATATAAGTCGATGCACTATGTGCATGCAGTGCCTGCTGGGGCCGGAGGAGAGCAATGACACTTGTGAAACGGGAGTTTCAAATGGTTATATGTCATCATGTGGGTTCTCATGGGAACCGATCCTGGGTCCTCAGCAGAGCAGCCGCTGCTCTCAACTGATGAGTCTTCACTCAAGCGACTTAACTTTATTAATATTTTACTTTTTCAAAAAATTATCAACAGCTTTTCCATATGGGATTTTCATACAAACTTCGTTTTGTTCATTCCCCTTCCTCTGCTTCCTTGGGTTTTCTTTTCTTTGAGTTGACTTAACTGCTTTTAAAATGTAGTTAATTGATGCATGAGAAATAACTACTGAGTCCATCAGTGATGTCATTGTTGACCTTAGATAAGAGTTGTTCCTATAGAAAAATGAGGAAAGGAACTCAATTTGAAATTCTTAAAAACAGACGGAAAGAAATTGAAGACAACTGGTAAAGGCAAAACTTTGAAGGAAGTTTTTCAATTAAAGGAACAGCAATTTGAGGTGAAAGTTGGAAAGTTTAGTGAACAGAAGTTTGTTTCTTAATCAAGTTTGGAGAGATGGCATTGCTGGATTCTTGTGGGTGGTGTTCACCTGAGAGGGAACTGAACCACAGTGTAAGGCAAAGTGGAAGGTTATGGAGTTCTGCCCTGTGTATGGGACAGAAAAAAAGAATGGAGATCAGTCAGGAATGATACAGGAAATGTTTGGCCGTTATTACCAATTATCCCCCTTCCTCCAGCTATGATGCCAGGTCTGCTGATAGCCTGTGAAATGCTTTGAATTAATGGACTCAGTCCTGAAGCTCCTTTTTCCATACCTCTTGGTGGGTCTGCCCCAACCTCTTTATCCTAAATGCTACCTTAAGGGAAATGAAAATAGACCCCTTAGGCCAGGCGCTTCTGTTACATTTAATGTCCTGCTTTAGCAGGGTTAAGTGAACCCCTCCTCATGCAGCATAAAAAGGGGAAAAAGCAAACTTTAGAATCAAGAATTTAGTTTCACAGTGGGTATCTCAGTTTTCTTCCACATAACAGGATTAAGATCGATTCCTCATCCTCTCCATCTTGATTTCCTCAAGGGTTGGTGGATTTGTCCAAAGCACCATCTTTTCAGTCTACAATTCTTCAGTCCATTAAAATTCATTGACTTGAACTTACCTTCTGCTCATCCATCTGAATTATAGGTGTTCTGAGGCAGTATGGTTATTTGGAAGTTGGTTCTTACATATTCGGATACTTATACAAGTTAAGTATTTGCGAAGTCTGTCAGGATAGCAGAAGTAGCCACAGCAAAATTAAAGAAATAAATAGAAAACATTTGTAGAATATATAGAATAGCATTGGTTGAGATTTTGTCTTCTGAAGTTTTCTAGTTTTGCAGATTCATAACCTACGGTTAAACTGATGCCCTATTATTAATATGGTTGCAGTACTGTTTCACACTTACTATTTAAGGAGAACCTCCAGATCATCTCTAAATTGATGGACTGTTTAAAAGAACAAAAGCATATGCATATTTAACATTTAGAAAGCCAGGATAATTTGTGATGTAAAAACCTAGAGGAAAATGGGTGGGAGACATGTCTCAGCCATTAAGGACGTGTGCTGCCTTTGCAAAAGGACCTGAATTTGATTCCCAGCACTCATATCAGGTGGCCTGAAGCTCCAGAGGATCTGAAACTGTCTCCTAGACTCTGTGTGCCGCTTCACTCATGTGCACATGTCCTCCCTGCCCACCCCACCCCCATATGCACATGATTAAAAATAAAAGTGAAAATTTAAACAAATAGAGGAAAATGACAATTTGTGAGGTGTGCTTGAAAAATGTTTACAGGAATCATAGTGTTGCTTTGCTAACCACAAATTGTGAATTTAGATTATTTTGAACTGTTACATTTTTATTCCATAAATGATACTGATGTTGAGCAGATTGCATTAAAATGTTACTGTGGTTCAGTAGAATTCAAGTCTTGGTTTTTTAACATTCCCTACAAGGACCCAGAGTTCCTGAAGCTGATTCCAGGGCTGGAACAGTAGAGCATCTTTTCATGCCAGAAAGGAAGAATGTACTCTAAAACAATGCCAGAATGTTAGAAGCATGTTGGAGCTGTGTTGTGGGCTCTTCCCACTGGGCAAATCTAGGATGGTTCAAGTAGCAAAATAATTAAAAACAGTAGTAAATTGTAAAGCATTGGAAAGAAATAGTAATTTATGAGACTATATCACTAGCATAACATTTATATAAACACATGGGGGAAAGAGGGCTCAAGACAGCTGTTAAATGTGGAGGAAGATCTGGAGTTGAAAATCCTGATTATGCCAATGTCATAGTCAAGTTCAGAGGATTCCAAATGAGTGTTAAATGTAGAGAAGAAATTTGAATGAAGAGTAGGTTATTTGCATGGTTGTAATCTGACCAAAGAATACATTATTGGTTGCAGGAAAAGATAGTAACTAAGCAGTAGGAAATTTGGAATATATCTTCTGTGGCTGAAGCTTAACATCACCAAGTGAGGAACAGGACACCATATCAGGTGCTTCAAACTGTCATGACCCCCAAATGACATACACTTACTCACTTCTCTGTTAGGAGTGTATTATTTGAACCCATTATGAGAACCACAAACTCAAACGGTACTGCACTTTTTTTTTTTTTAGGGGACTATATCCTGTCAAATAAAAGTTAGAAATTAAATAATGGTAGGACCCATGCTAAAGGAAAGTTAAGGCATAGAGGGCAAGTGGATGTGGTGAAGTGCACGTAATGGATTATGCCTACAGTTACAGCACTACAGCTGGGAAAGCAAGAGGAGCATTGCAAGTTCTAGGCCAGCCTGGGGTAAATAATAAAACCCTGTCATGAAATTTATTAAAAGTATAGGACATAAGCTTTTCTTGACCCCGAGACTGGATACAGAGTTAGTTGACAATTTTATCATACAAATTATAGATGACTGTGGTTGACTTAGTTACTGAAATTGTAACTGTTGTAATTGGTGATTTGCAAATTATTTTTTGGAAGAGGACATGTAAGTATTTACGTAGAACGGATCACAATGTAAGGCAACCTATAAGTGTTGATGCAGCGCACACATTGAGTAAAGTTATATGGTGTTTGTGTTTTCGTTGTAATTTTTTTCTGTTCATTTGGAATATTTCAAAATTTATGCGTGTGTGCATGAGCACGTTTGCTTTAGATTGTTTATTTAATTCTAATTTTTCATTCATCTTAAGATATTAACCTAAATTTTTATAAGTATGTTTATAGGTGTTTATATAGGTGATTATAGATATGTATATTGATTTTTGATTTCTTTTAAATAGTGCTGGGCCTAAAGGAGATAACATTTATGAATGGAGGTCAACTATACTTGGTCCACCAGGTTCTGTATATGAAGGTGGTGTTTTTTTTCTGGATATCACATTTTCTTCAGATTATCCATTTAAGCCACCAAAGGTAAGAACCTAGATATACATTGATTAATTGTCCTCCCAAACCCAGGTATTCTAGAATTTATATGTATATTAATGTAATAATTTTTATTTTATTTTTCATAAATTAATATGGAAACTCAGAACCTATTATTTTGAAACCAAAAAGTTACTGACTTCTGCCTTCTAAAAATAATTTTATATTAAACATAATTTGTTAATACTAAATAAAATTATACATTGAATAAAACATAATAAATGTGATCTTATGCAAAATTTCCTCTGTGAAGTAAATCTTATTGACAGCTTTCAGAAATAGGCTAATAATAAGGATTTTGTCTTTATTTATAGATAAGTAAAAATTAGAAAACTAACAAAAAAAGGAAAAACTAACACACACTCGTTTTGTGCCTTCTATGAGTGTAATATAAAATAGAGTGGCGGGCTCACTTCTGCCTTCTCCTTAATTCATTTAAACTGAGTGTTCAGCTGGGTAACAAACAGAAAACATGATACTTACTTCAAGAGCTTCTTCCTCTGACTTCTCATTATAAAGTACTCAAGTAAAAACCCTGGAGCTTAGCCTTTGTAGCTGGGTTTGTTATAGAGGAATCCAGTGTGCCAGGAAGGTTGACAGGACCATGGCCCCCAACTAATAAAGTGCTTTTCCTTTTTTTTTAATTGCATAAAAATTTTTAATGTAATACATTCCAATTATGGTTTCCCCTCCCCCAATGTCTCCCAGATCTGCCCTACTTCCCTACCAACCCAAATACACACCCTTTCTCTTTCTCCTTGGGATATAAACAGGCATATAAAACAAATAATGAAATAAAATTAGTTAAATAAATAGAAGAAAAAGCCAGGAAAGTTTCTAATTTTTATATGATTTCTTTGTGTGTGAAATGCTTTTCTTTTTAAATCTTAAAACTCTTTAAATACATGTCTTCAGTATATGTGTGTATCTGTTTATCTTCATCTATCCATCCATCCTATCTATTCTCTACAGTCTTTCTCACTCTCCCTCCCTCCCTCCCTCCCTCCCTCCCTCCGTGTGTGTGTGTGTGTGTGTGTGTGTGTGTGTGTGTGAGTGAGAGAGAGAGAGAGAGAGAGAGAGAGAGAGAGAGAGGCGGGGGGGAGTCTGTCGTCTTTCTGTGTCTGTCAAGACTTACTTGATTTTTATTAGAAAGGACGTTTTCTGGGAAGTATTCTCTAACACATTGCAAAAGAGTCCCACCTAGTGGTGTGTACCTCAAATTAAAAACAGAATGATCCCTCCCCTTCCTCCCTCCCTCCCTCTCTCCCTCCCTCCCTCCCTTTCTTATCGAAGAGAAAAGAATCTTCTCTCATACACTACGTCCCCACCACAGCTTTCTCTCATTCTACTCCTCCCAGCCCCCTTCCCTCCACCTCTCCTCTCCCCCATATCCACTCCCTCTCCGGTTTCCTCTTCAGAAAAGAACAGGCCCCCCAAGAGAAGACAGCCAAACAGGACAAAACAAGATGCAATAAGAAAGGGTAAAAGCCCTCATATTGAGGCTGGACAAGGCAACCCAATAGGAAAGAGTTTCAAGAACAGGCAAGAATCAGACACCCCTGCTTCCAGTGTTAAGACTCCCACAAAAAACCGAGCTAACAGTCTTACTATATATACAGAGGACCTGCTTCAGATCCATGCAGGCCGCATGCTTTCTACTTCAGTCTCTGTGAGCCCATATGAGCTCTGTTTAGTTGATTCAGAGGGCCATGTTTGTCTGGTGTCCGCTATATCCTCTGACTCCCACACCCCCCCTCCCCCTTCCATGGGATTCCCTGATCTCCAAGGGGAGGGACCTGATGGACAACTCCAATAGGTTGTGGGTTTTTTTTGTTTTTGTTTTTTGTTTTATTGCCAGTCATGTTTTGTTCAACCCTAGGTTTCTGGGCTATCTAGTCTCCAGTTCCTGGCCATTCAGGCAGTGTAGGGCATGGGTTCCCTCTCCTGGCATGGGCTTCAAGTTAAACCAAACATTATTTGACCACTCCCACATGTTCTGCGCTACCATTTCCCCAGCCCATCTAGCAGACAGGACAGGTTGTATAGGTGGAGGGTTTTGTGGCTGGGTTGGTGTCCAGGTTTCTCTTTCTGTAGTCTGCAGATTATCTTCTCATTGCAAAGCGACTAGAATGTAGGGATGAAGGCTTCATGCAGGCACCAGCTCTTCCTCTGTACATTCGATGAGTTATGTGGATGTTGTCCTCAGCAGTGGTCCACTCCCCCTTCACCATCACTTTTTGGAGAGCAACCTTCTGTCCTTGCATCAGCCTGGGTTGTTTAGGGATCTCCACAGGATCACAGGATCTTCTTGGCCAACGACTCAACTGAATGCAACCCAGTCCCACCACTCGAAGACTTGCCTGGCTACAAAGACCTCATTTCCTCCATTACAGGAGTCCTCCAGTTGTCTCTCTCTCCACACTTGCACACACACACCACTGTCTGATCCCTCCTGCTCCCATCTCTACCTACCCTCAGTCCACTTGCAAAATGTATTCTATTTCCCCTTCCCAGGGAGGTCCATGTGTCATTCCCCTAGAGCCCTTTACCTAACCTTTCTGGTCTCTAGATTGTAGCTTGATAATCATTTACTTACAGCTAATATCCACTTATAAGTTAATACATGCTGTATTTGTCTTTCTCAGTCTGGGTTATTATCTCACTCAGGCTTTTATTTTTCTAGTTGTATCTGGTTGCCTGCAAATTTCATGATGTCATTTTTTTTAACAGCTGAGTAATACTTTACTGTTTAAATGTACAGCATTTTCTGACAAGTTGGTCCTTTAACCACCTGGACACACTTCAGAGTAGACTGTGTTTGAGTGTTTTATAGTGCAGCCCATCAGAATCTAAGATCCTAGAAGTTATCTTTGAAAGCTCTTTAGGTATGCAGGTCTGCCTTTCTAAGTCAAATAAAGGGTCAGAACCCTCATGTTATAGTGGCATACATTGGATTCTCATGAGAATGATATGTATTTAATGTCAGCTTATTACTGACTGCTGAATTTTTATTTGGTTGTTTTCTGTATAACAAAGCTTTAGTAAACTTTATTTCTATTTTTATAAATAGTGATACTTCTACATGCCTAGGTTTTCATATTGGAAATTGGTTTTAACAAACTAGAAAAAATAAGGGGAGAAAGTTAACAGAATGTATTTGTATGTGAGGAATTATGTTTACAATTGCGTTTTTCTTAGCACCACTAGTGGAAATGGAAATTGTCTAGCAGATGTTGGACCTCTCCCCCACACATACCTGATCCCTCCTGCTCTGTTTCCTGAGTACTGGGGTTATAGGCATGCACTACAGAGGCAGGAGGATTGCTGCTGTAAGTTTGAAACCAGCCTGGTCTGCAAAGCAAGTTCCGGCTAGCCAAAGCTACATATCTAGAGACCTCATGTCAAAAACAAAACAGCAGCAGCAGCAACAAAAAACAAAACAACCATAACAAAACCTAAGCCAAATACAGTTCTTTCTATACTAAGTCAAAACAAACAATATTTTTAACTAAGTCAGTTAAAACTATTTAACTTGTTACACCGACCTATGAGTATTACATGTTAATAATTTGTTGTCAGCATAATCTGAAGTGTTACTGCTGAGACGAATTGGTGACACAGCCTCTTTTTCTTCCTGTTTCTACTGTGACCATGTATAGGTTACCTTCCGCACCAGAATCTATCACTGCAACATCAACAGTCAGGGAGTCATCTGCCTGGATATTCTAAAAGACAACTGGAGTCCTGCTTTGACTATTTCAAAAGTTTTGCTCTCTATTTGTTCCCTTTTGACAGACTGCAACCCTGGTAAGCAAATCTTTATAAATCTACAAATAAAGCTTCTTAATTTAATGTTGATCAAGAAGTAAGTATTATTATTAGGAAGATCAGCATAAGATTTTTTTTTGAGGGATAGGCATGGAGATTGTGTCAGCAGAATAGTGAATAAAGACTTCTGAGTTAGCTGGGGCTATCTGGTGAGACTCTCTCAAAAAAAAAAAAAAACAAAAGTAATTCTGAGAAATCAATGTTATTTCAATTAGAAATTGGGCCAAAAGTTTCTTAATGTTTATTTAGTTTATTATTGTCATGTAGCAGGTTTTCTTTTAGGCCACCAACCAGCTTCCAAATCATGACATAGAGACTTATTATTAGTTATGAATGCTTAGCCTTACCTTAGCTCTTGTTTTAATGTTTCTCTTTATCTATGTTTTGCCTCAGGGCTTATTGCCTTTTCTTTCTTTCTTTCTTTCTTTCTTTCT